TAGGGCATGTTCTGATCCTAAATCACAGCGGCACTGAATTACGTGCATATGAACCTCCAAGCAGTCCTATTGCTTTTGCTGTGATGCCTCATATGTGTATAACTACTTTTGATCTTTGCCTTCGGGTAGTGCTGTAATATAAACATTCAATATTGAGAAGGAAGAAGAAATAACAATAATTCATTATAGATTCAGTGTTTACTATTCAAATTTTTCAGTACCTTTCTTAACAGGAGTTCTGAGGAACAAACAGTCAATCTTAAAATAGCCTGACAAGCTTTTTTAAATCTATGGTCTGAGAACCCCTCCGGGTCCATAAATTTCTTTGAAGAATCTACGAAAGGCAATTAAGAAGGTAAAGTTCAAACATGTTATACAGCAACTTGCATGCATGAAATTCAAGAGATTAAAAGAATATTTGTAACCACTGAAAAGGAGAAGAATTTATGGGACTGGCTCTGTAGCAGTACTAATCCTTGATAGTAGTATGAAAGTGCTACAGATCTTTTTTTTATGCAATACAGAAGCTGTCATTGACATTTAATGGAGTTGGAATATGTTTCTTTTAACTCCACCAGACATAATATCTCAAAGTGTCTGAGCTGTATTTATCATAGAATCACAGAATCATAGAACACCAGGTTGGAAGGGACTTCAAGGATCATCTGGGCCAACCTTTCTTGGCAAAAGCACAGTCTAGACAAGACAGCCCAGCACCCTGTCCAAATGAAACTTGAAAGTGTCCCATGTTGGGGAATTCACCACTTCCCTGGGGAAATTATTCCAATGACTGATGGTTCTCATTGTGAAACATTTTCCTCGTGTCCAATCGGAATCTCCCCAAGAGTAACTTGTACCCACTACCCCTCATCTTTCCCATGTGACTCCCTGTAAAAAGGGAGTCTCCATCTTCTTTTTAGCCACCCTTTAAATACTGGAACATGGTGACAAAGTCTCCCCTAAGTCTTTTCTTCTCAAGACTGAGCAAAACCTATTCCCTCAGCTTTTCCTCACATGGCAGGCTTCCCAGTCCCTTGATCATCTTTGTGGCACTTCTCGGGACCCTTTCCAGCCTGTCCGCATCTTTTTTGTATAGCAGGGACCAAAGCTGAACATGGTATTCCAGGTCTGGCCTGACAAGTGCTGAGTAGAGTGGGATAATGACTTCTTTATCTCTGCTGGTGATGCCCTCAGATGGCATATACCTTGAAATACAAAAGTGTTTCATACTCACCCATGCTTACTCTTCCATTAAAAACAAAAACTGTTGGAACAATCTGAAGGAAGTCACATGTGCAATGAGGCCTTGGGGACACAAAGTGAGAAACATGAGTCATGTAAATGAACACCTCAAAACTAGACTATTTTTGTACAAAATTTAAGAACATTGGATTTTTAGTGACTTTGACACTGCTAGATACAAGTTGCCCTTTTAGATGCCTAACTCAGTTTAGCTTTTAAGGCTATAACTAAGCCAGCTTTTTCTCTATTAGTGTTAAATCCAAACTAGAACTGGGCCAGGGAAGAAAATTACAGTAGTTCCATTCTTATAGCAAGTATTATTCATAACTAAATTCCTAGGAAAAAGATGGGCTACTGCAGTTTAACTTCCATTTTGAGATTTTTTTTGAGCTCCAGGCAGATTCCTGATTTGAAGAATGCTTGTTAAGACACAGCTAAGAATTCAGAAATGCAATATCTACTCCTGTTAGCTGCATCCACATAGATTGGTAGAAACTGTAAAGCTCGTCTACAGATCTGCAAACAGAAGTTCTGGACCAGCCTCATATGAAGAATTGGAGTTTATTATCTTGGGGAGGGAGGAAGGAGGACAACTACTGTATCCCTTTAGCATCTCATGCATAATTTAAAGGCTTTTCAAAAGTCATACACAGGTTTTTTGTCCATTTTTTGCTGATACTGTTGAAGAACAATAGCAGATCACAATATATCACTTTCCTTGGTAATGTCTTCTGAGTTGTTGTATCACACTAGTCCAAGTGGTCTAGAATTCTGCTATTAATTTCAGCTGGTTCTTTAATCTTACTTCCTAGTACATGGTGATTTATATCTAAGCAGCTAACAGCATAAAGCAAAACACAGTATCAATTTAACATAGTAATCAGAAGCTAACTTTAACAATGTGAGGCTAAACTGCTTCTGAAAAATGCCGTATGTCACTGCTGGTTGTCTATACGCCTATGTGCATACACGTAATATTCATATTATATGTATACAGTAAACACATGAAACACATGTGATGTTAAGCATTTTGTTTTGCTTAAGACCAATGGAAACTGAGGTTTCTGAACTCCATGTGGGAGATTTTCACAGCATCCAGTCATAGATATCTATTTCACAGGGAAAATTGTAGCCTTTCCTCTAGAGCTCTGAAAGTTTAGTTCCATAGGTGTGTTCAGAAAATGAGACTTTAAAAAGCAATGGATCTTTTTTAATTTACTTCCTCTTCAATCCACAGTATTGGTTTTCATTCAGAACACTTCAATGGGGACTGTTTCTATTTTGTCAGTAGACTGATAAGCTGTTATTACTATGGAGCAAAAGCTTTTCAGTACACAGTACTACTAGTGGGTCATTAACTTTATATTGAAATAAAAGAACTTTTTCCCTTTTTCTCTTGACAGTTATTCCTGATTCGTCTGTGTTAGACCAAACTTCTACTCACTTTATTACTGCTAAGACTTTTCTAAAACCAAAGGAAGGCTGACTATTCCCAGTCAAGTTTAGTACAGAATGTATGGTTAAGGTAAATAAGAGTTATGCAAATATGTTATGCTCTTCCAAAGCATTAGTGTGTTACCCTTTGATTCTATTCTACTATTTGTTCTTTCTCATTTGAAATTAATGGGACAAGACTTCAGACTTATGGGCATTTTGAAATAAAATGTTAGACCTGTAGGCCATGGTCTGGTGAGATATTAAACATATTCTTTTACTTCCTCCTACATTACTTACAAAATGAGGAGAAATCACACAGCTGACCACATTGCAGCTATTTAATGCTGCTGTAAATAGATCATAATAAGCATGTGGTTTACGTGATTATCTGTGCTGATTAATGAAAGGGTATGGACTGTTCAGCATCAGTAGAAGGAGAGGAACAAGAAAAAAACCTTCCTGATTGCAGCTGCAAATGGTAGCAATTTTTCCTTCCTGCATTAATGAATGTAATTCATGTAATGCATATTACTTCATTCAACAGCAAAATTCTCACGTTCAGTTCACAGACATGAAGTATTTTAATTAAGAATATCAATGAGTAATGACATTCCACTTCCAGAAAAAGCAAAAAAGACACTTCTTTGGCCATGTAGAAGGAGCTGTGATGCAAATATAGTTTATCAGTGTAATAAATTCACTTTCCTAAAACTCTTTACCAAAAGTATTTCCTTTAAGCTATGTTCTCTTTTCCCCTTCTAACCTTCCTTTACATGCAGTATTTGACTTCAAACCTGCATTTTACAGTCTCTAGTGATCAAACCACTTCATCCTCTACAAACATCACAAATTAAAAGAGCTTTCAGCATCTGAACTCCAACACAACATACACAAAACTAAAATAATTCATTGTCTAGAGACCATAACAAATTTTAATGTGCATTTACAGAGTAAACAGAGGACTGAAAGGGGTCAAACCAGTGGAAGTGAAAGTATGTATTACAAAATCCACACAGTACTGAATTACAAACTAAAAAGTGAGGTACTGTCAAAAAAGGAAATAAAGATGTCTATTGGTGGCACGACATATAGATAATATTAAAAACTGGCTTGCATGAGGACCAAAGTATGTCTACTCTGAAGTTATATCACACAGACTGTAAGCAATTTACAGAATTTAAGTTAGTTTTGCATATACAGGAGTTGCAAAAGTAGAGAAAACACACTGAAATATAGAACGCACACACACACACAAAAAAAAGATGTATATATAAACCTCCACGCAATCATCAGGGGTTGGCCTAAGTCAGTAATTGCCACCATTGAACAAGAAACAAACAAAAAGAGACAGGAAAATAATCCACAGGGGAAAAAGAATAATAAAAAAACCCCGACAAACAACTCAAAAGAAAAATCTCCTCATTTTCCTCATTTGTTTTCCAGAAACAACATCCTCTAGTCTGCTTAGCTGCTTTGTAGAATTTATTTTCTCCTCCCTATTCCTCATGCAAAAATAAAAAAAAAAAATAAAAAAAAATTAAAAAAAACCCAAAATTTTGATAAAGTTTGTGGGGCTTTTTATTTGGGTCGATGTTAAATCACTGTTTTGTTTCATTATTTGGCCTCTGTTTCCTTCCAGGCTGGAACAGTTCTTTCAGTGTAGGAAATGAAATGTCATCCATGGTTAACTCTGTAATACTGATGACTTGCAGGCCAACCCCTGAGAAGTCAAGGATGAGGCTTCTCCTTGCCGAAAGAAAAGGAAACTAGGTCTTGCTGTTACAAAACGTTTGATTACATCACACCAGTTCTCTTCAAATAAAAGATCAGTGATACGTCAAAGAAAATAAGATATATCAAGAAAACATGTGGTATCCTCTTCTTTTTATAATATTTATTTATTTAATTATTTTATTTAGTATTTTTGTTTGTACTTCCTGAAGAAGGTGCTCCTTGTGTAGAGATTTAGAGTACATTGGGTGCAGAGTGGTGGTTGGAGGTTAGGGTCAACTTTGCTGTCCGCTCCGTGGATTTTACAGGCGATTTGCTCTTTGCTTTAAGAAGAGAAAGTGATATTGGAAAAAGTCAGCACTTTTAGATTAAAGCAAAGCACCCTTCACAAAGCCACAAACAAGAAGCAGGACAGAAAGTCCATGGCTTGTAGCTATCCTCGCACCTGCGGAAGAAGTTATAAGATATTCGCTCATCTTGCAGATTTCCAATGCTCCTTATAAGGCTGTTTTAAACACATACATTTATATATTTAATTAGCTCGCCAGGTTGGCTCTGGTGCCCATGAATGTCTTGGCATGCACTGCAAATAACAACACATACAAAGTATTTCAGTCCCAGGGAGGTTTTTTTTGTTTGCTTTGCTTTTCTTTCTTGTCTGTCTTTTTAAATAACATTATCCAGTGAAACCATACACCAAGAGGAACAAACCCAAACACCTTCCATCTCAGAGTGATCTTTACAAAATCATTTCCAGCATCACATCATTGACTGCTAATAAAAAGGTAATTTAGTGGCTAAAGAATGTTTTTTTTGTAAAACAGAGGAGATACTGGCAAATGGCTGTGCTATTTACAAGGGGGGAGCACAATGCTAAAATGTTTATAGTATTTATTTCTGAGAAATTATATTTTCCCAGATTTTTGGGTTTTATTTTTAAAAAGCTTTGAGAACAATGGTACATTCCATTATTTCTAAAAATATGACTTTAACTTTTAAGTACGTTATCAGAATAAAACCATTCAGAACTAGACAAATTAAACTGAAATGTTCTCACACCAAGGACATGAGTATTTAGATGTTGTACATACCAAGTCTTGGTGCTTTATAACTCCCTATATTGTAAAGAATTAATTACATTCAGAATTTGAAATATATTACCTGAAGTGAAAAACATAAATTTAATTTAGTTACACTATAAATAAAATTTTCCATTATAATGGGTTAATGCATGATTAATAGATTTTATAGCTGTGTTGTATACTTGAAAATGATTAATGTTATTGACGGTTACAGGCATCAGTTCTATAACAAAGATATAATGGTGTTATAAGCAGTCCATAATAATGCTGGACTTCTAATAACTGCTTATTTTTAAAAAAATCTATTAATCATGTATAAGCTATTTTTTTAAAGAATTTAATATTAAACTGAATACTGGATTCCACTGCAGCCCCGAAAAGCACATTTATCTTCTCATCAATATACACAATGAAAGCAAAAAGAACTCAAGGCAAATGCTCATTTTTTAAAGTTTTCAGATGTTTCTCAGTAAAACATTTCTCTGTATCTGCTAACTATGCTTATAAGTGTAGCAACAAGTATTTCTGTTCCTGTCTTTAGTAAGTTTTTCCCTTCAAAAACAGGGATTAAACTAAATCCCAGATCTCTGAACACTGCTTCCTTTTGTAAATACATGCTGTGAGATGTTGCATACATAGTAGTTGCCATAAAAGACTCTTAGTCCTCTGTCACATACACAAGAGCTTCTAAATGGCAGTGATATTTCAGATATACATATGAATTATCCATGTGTGTTAATACAGTGAATATTAACTTTTCAGTGGAAACATGTCTCAAAGACATTACTAAGATTTTCAAAGAAGTCCATGGGAACTCTGACCTTGCTTCCTACTGAACGTAGACAGGTGTGCAAAGCCTATTTTTCTCTTGACAAATGCTACCTGTACTACACTGCTGTAGTTTTCTGGGCTTCTCAAAACACTTGTTCCGTACTAGGAACAAGCAAACACACAAACAAATTTGCTGTAACTTCTTCCTGTGGGTTATTCTCATACAGGTGGTAGTTGCAAACTTGAGCCTTAAGGGTCAAGCTCAATTTCTGATTTTGGTTTTATTGCAGCATGTTCTCTCTTTTATATACGGTGCAAAATTTGTCATTTGACAGATTTTTGTAAAGGCTTTTCTTTCCCTAACTAGTTTAGCAGAACTTACTTAGAACCTTTGTTAGTGTTAGATCATGTCATGATTTATTGAATTATTTTCACTAGTTTTATTCCATTTAAATATTCTTTTGATTGAACTAGAGAAATACACTGCTCAAGACAATTTTAAAGAAGTCTTTGGAGATACATTTCCTCTACACAAAATATGTACAATGCAAATAAGGATAAATACTCAGAGGAGTCTCATGGATATTTTTTAAAAGAACTTTTTTAACGTTTAATGGCATTATAACTTGAGAATTTGAAAGCTGCAATGTGTGGAAGAGAAACAGTATGATACAAAATAAGTTTGACTTAAACAATTTCACATTAGGAAAATCTACCATAATATTTGCAGGCAAAGCACTATTTTTTTTTTTTTTTTTCCTTTTTTCCAATACGACAATCTGTAGATCTCCAAATTAGGGATCATATATTGCATACACTTGATAAACTTTTTATTTATAATTTTCGGTCCGTATAAATCACAACCTCCCTCCAATTCATCACATGTTCTACATACATGTTCTTCTCTAAACAGCAAGTTTCTTTATCTTGCAAGGGATTTAGGTTATAGTACATGCAGCAATTATAAGCTAAAGCAATACTGAGGACATGAGAAAAAATTAGGGAAAATACTAAAACAATTCAGCTTCTAGGTAAGAAAGAGGCTGTTAGGACTGTTGGAAATCACTGTCATAATCAGTGTCCTCTGCATGGTTTTGGTAACTGATTAGTGTATCCTAATGTCATATCAGGTCTCTATTTACTGGCTTAGTAGTTTCCAAAATGCTACCTAACCCAAACTGATACATTTTCAGTAATGTGTTACCCCCAACAAAAATGATTTGAGATATACAGTGACATATATGACTATTAGGTACACTCTCATCTTTTCAGTGATTCTTTATGAAATATAATGGGAGTTTAAATATATCCAAGTTTCTTTCTTTTTTTTTTTTTTTTTTCAGATGTGTGAAAAAACTGTATTCTCTCATGAACCCAAGTATTTCTTTAGATTTTGGAAGGGTGAAAGCTGAAAATGTAGAATAATAACATAGCAAAACTGAAAGTGGCCTTTTTAGATTCTTTCCTTTTTCTATTCTGTCATATTTGCTCATATTCTATTATTTTGTTTTCCATACTGATAAAGGGTAAGTGAACAGAAATAGTAAAAAATTTCCATTTTGACTGTGAATTTAAAAGTCATAGGGTGTTTAAATCAGAGGTTTAGTTTCACTGTTTTTAGACTGAAGTCAGAGGCAAATACAGATCAGGATCCAAATCCAAATCCAAATGTCTTAAAAATACAGAGTATTTGAATACAGAGTTTTCATGCAGATGCAGTTTGTGTGTACAGTTCTGACCAGGACTTAAATAGTGTCACTGGAACTGTGAGCATGGTAATATAAGTAAAACTGTTGATCTGTCTGTGGATATGCTAAATCGATTATTCATTTCCCCGCCATTTCTAACATTATTTTCTAATTATCATAATGAGAACAAAAGGAAATTTTATTGCAGGTCAAGAACACTGGGAAAAGCTGGACTACAATTATGTTACCCTCAAAGACAGTAACCTGGAAGAACATTAGTATGTACGCATATAATATTTCTACATTATTACTTAAACTCTACTTGGATCAGGCATTCTCACATTTTGACCTATCAGCCACTGGGATCCAGCTAAATTCTTCCTGCGAGATGTAAATGCTCATGTGTTGTCTTTCTTTCCTGTCACTGACATGCATCCAAAAGGGTAAATGTCCAGAAAATACTTGGCCTTCTGAAAACAAATGCTGTATTGCCAAAGGCTTGTGATCATGAGATAAGTTTCTGTGTAACAGCATGAAAGAGTAGTTCATGCCATTAAACTCTTTGAAATAGTGATTTATTCAAATATGTGGTTTCCTCAAATGTTAGGAAAACAGAGAAAAAACATAAATAAATGTGAATTTGGCATTTAAAATAATAAAATAATCTCTGTCGCAAATGCTTAACCATATTTCATGGCTCAGTGTTACAGACCAAATAACATCAATTTTGTTTTGGTAATGAGATTAATTTTAGATCATCTAAGTATAAAATAAACCCTGAAAAAGTTATAAATTGTTAGTAAACCCTAACTGATCAAAAAAATAGTTTCTCATTGCATGCCTGAATGACTATAATCCGTTGCTTTCACTAAGATATTGATCAGAAAAAATGTGTGTAAAAATACATGGAATTTGGGGGCACAAACAGAGAAAAGTAAATGCTGGTTTCATAATTTTGCCTATTTATTTTTCACAACTGGACAAAACACTTATTTGTAAAGTAAGCAGTTGCCTCAGGCCCTACAGTTTTAGCATACCCTATTTGTAAGAGTAACTTTCATTGTTAACCACCTTGGGTCTCAAGTAGTTTTCATCTTCAGGAGTTGAAGTTTATCAAGTTTGGCATTCCTTGTGCTTGATAAGGTTTGGGAGGTCTCTGGGATGCAATAGCCTCCTGCACTCTGAGACTCAGTACTCGTCAGAACCTCTGAAAACTGGATTCTTACAGTTATGCTTACAATGAGTACTGTGCCATCATATAAATAACAGAACGAGTCTGTGAATTCAACAGCACTGCTTTAATATTTTACTAAACATATAAGTTTAGTGAGGGTTTCCTTGAGTTTCCTCTAATTAGTAAGCCGCTGATCACAAGGGAAGACTAATGCTTGAGTACAGTCCTGCTTTTGTGCTGACCAGTACAGGAGAAATACAGCCAGTCACACAAAACTCTGTCCTAGATTCTCTGTATGTATTACATGATGCCAAAATATACCTACATATATATGGAGGATATATAATCAGCTTGTGCTGAATATGAGTTAATTTTGTTGTACTATTCATTTCTGAAATCACTGAGGTGTTGAAATGTTGCAAGTTTAACTTTTCAGGAATTAGTGCTGATATTTTCCATCTCTGAGTGCCTGGTTTGCTGTTTTGCAGCACTTGACTGTGCTTTGTAATGTTAGATTTGAAATAACCTTCTTTTCAGCCCCGGTTGAAACCACATGATATCATAATTTTGCACTATTTCTATGTAAAGTAAGTAAAAGTTCATTAAATGCCTGGCTTAATTTTACTAGGAATATTAATGAACCATAAGATTTATTGGAAGACATTTGCAGTTTAACATCCATAAAGATAGGTGAAATCAAGTATGGCTGATTTTACCTGAAGTTTTATTTGAACATGTTGACTATGAGTAAGTTTTAAATAAATAGATTCTTACTCTCTGGCCTATGAATTTCTATAATTTTTATTCATCTGAATTACAGAAATCACAGTTACCTGTAGCTTTCCTATACTGCTGGATTATATACCCACACTCAGGAAGAAAATTTTCCTTCCAGAAATGTAAGGCCCCCCTTTCCCTCCTCAGGGGAATTACTTCTCATGTGTGTTTTAAGATTCAATCATCTGTGTTTGATTTTGGGGAAATGTATGACAGAAGACAAGCAGTAAGTATCATATTTAAGACTCCTAATGTAGACACTTAGGCTTCTAGTCCATCTTTCTCTATTGGCTGTACAGTAGTCAGCCTAAAATAGTGTGAACTTCTCATCGTCATTGTCTGGGGCAAACATACCACACAGGGCAAATGAATTCATCTCACACGCCTGAAGAAGAGTTCCGAATTTCTGATTTTTTTTTTTTTTATTATTTTGAAAGAAAACTACTGCTTCCAAATTGGTGGAAACTTAGAATAGGCTATGTTTTGAATGTCCCTGGAGTCTACTTAGACTTTGCATCCAGCGTGTATCTCGATTCATTTGCTGTGTGATCCTTTTCTGACAGTGACGCCCAGAAGAGCAAGTGAGGAAGAGGGACGGGATCCTAGATGGATGGTTACTCCCTAGCTTTCATTAGGTAAGGCACCCAGGTGAATAGAGGTGTTCAGTCCTCTCACCAGGCAAAAGAAAGTGATAACTTGCCAACCCTGAGTAGAGGAGACAATTCTGCTGGAGGTTTGAACCACAATAACTCCTGGAGCTCTTTCTGGACTAAGGCAGGCCACAGCCTTCAAGTTGCTACCAGCTACACTTGAAACCACATTCTAATGCAAACTTGAAACACTTGGGAGAGGAAAAACCTGAAGAGACTTCAAATATAGGTAGCATGTAGTAAAATGATACTCGGCTTCAGGCAGTGGTCCAGAACAAGCCATAGTAAATGTATAAAAGGACAATAGCTAGCACTATGAAGTACTGTACAGCCAATGGAGAAAGATGGACTGGAAGCTGGCATTGAATATCTCTTCACATGTATAAATAATGCATTGACTTCAGATATTTCTATTTCAGTGAGAGAGTACTTTCTGGGGAAAGAGGCTAAGAGAGGTGTTTGCAAATGGTCTGTGAAACACCAGTGTTAGCTATTTAAATAAAACTAGTGCAAGAAGCAGTCCAATACCCAGTGCCCACTGCAACAGTTAAAAGCAGAGGGGGAGAAGGGCAAGCTCAAGGAAATGCAGGCCCTAAATTTGTTAATTGGTATTGTTTGAGAACCACTGGCAGCATGCTTTATGACTGCTCTTATCAGCACTGGGCACCTTTCTCTCTCATCCCGAAAACCATGGATATAAAATGTCTTAGAATTTTCTTAATGTATACCAGAAAAATATATAAACCAGTGCATTTTGTTTATTTGTGTGAAATGTCTGATTCCAAAGCAAATGTATTTTTTTGTGACTGTCCTGTGGTAACCCATCCTTATCCATTTATTTGCATATAGTTATGCCCCATTCGCAGTAAAGACAGGAATTTAGGCTGTTAAAAATTCTTATTGAATTGACTCTTTTGTTAGTAACCGGCTTCTGCTGTTGTAATTAAATACCTCCACCACAAACTGTTCTTCATTTTTGTAATATATACATAGAAAAGTGTGTGCATATTTGATATATGCCACATTGTAATTAAACTGTTAACAGAGGCATTTTGGAAAGATGCCATAAAGTTGCAACAGGAGTTTTATTTGAAGAAAAATAGAATTGAACTAGTCTTTTTCCTCCTGTGCTTTTTGCATCCTATTCATCCTTTCATCTATCAGAAAAAAATCTTAAGTGGGATGGCACTTAATATTTCTCTATCATCTTCAACAACACTGTCATACCAAGAAAAACATATACAAAGAGGGTTATTATAACATAGACAGAAGGAAAATTATCATTCGTTGTAAATATTTCAGCATGAGATGTTCAATCCCTTTTCTTGCTTTTCACACCTGACACTGCTTAGACTTATGTTTGACATACAGTCAACCTGATCTCCTTCTATTTATATCATTTATATAAGAGCTATTTTCATGGAACTCAGCAAATGTCCCATTTATCTGTACCTATCCAACTGGATGAGACTGTTTTCTTCTGCCTGATTCCTAGATGGTGTTTTGAGGCAGGGACCATTCCGATCCTTTGTTTGCTGGGTGGATAATGCAGTTGTTATAGAGATTAGAACAATGCCTCTGAGGAACAGAACATACCTCTGTCTAAGGTCTATGACTCACAAGCTCTTAACGGTTTTAGCTGGAGCAGTTTAAGATGATAGTGCCTCCATCTCTCTACCTCCCCCTCTTATGGAAATTAAACTCCCAGTAGTAGGAGTGATACAAGCAAACCTCATGCCATCTCTTAATCTTTCTCAATTTAACAACCTGATGTTTTAGTTTATCAGCTGTTATAGAAGCTTAATTTAATGCTCTACACTGTGAACTGGGAAAGCTAAGGAGCAGGCACCTATTTCCTTCTGCAATGCAAGTTTGGAGCAGTAACTTCTGATTGGGACAAGACAGAGACTTTGAGTGGCAACATTTTAAACTGTAAGAGCTAAATCAGAGTTCACAAGTCAAATCCTTCACCCTTGCTATTACTGTCATACAAATTAAAAAATACTATGTTATCACCCCTACAACCACAATGCACTAGTTCGAAAATGGTGGATTATGAGAATGAAGCTTGAAATATTTGTGCTGAATCCTGTATTAATTCTATCTCCTTCACATTCCACATTTCTGAATGTTCTACTTTCATTTAGGATTCTTTTACCTTTCTCGTTACAGTTCTGAGATGTGGGATCAGTCATAATCATGAAAAGTCATTCATCGTTATTCAAAGACTCTTCAGGTATAAGATGGTTACTTGATTCGTACATATTGTTTGTATGTGAATAATTCAGCAGAGTAGAAAACAAGCAATTGACCTGTTATTTTGGCAGAGTTGCAGACAGGCCAATGCTATGTATCCACATTCTCAAACACCATTCTACTAAAGGGATGTCCACCATCTGAATGTTTAGCTCTCTGTGAGACCTACTGCTAATTCTTGGCTCCGTAATTGGTTAATTATTGCTCCTTGACAAAACATCTTGCCCTTTTAACTTTTTTTTCAGTTGCACAGAATGAACTGGAGATGGATACACCATCTTCTGTAGTCATGTATAAATCACTTTTATAGTCATTATAGCCCTAAGGCTGTGATTTGGTGGCCAACAGCCTCAGTCAGTGTCACAGGCAACAGCAGCAGCTGAGGGAATAAAAGCAGTAGAAATAGGACTGGCAGCAGAAGTAGCATCCAGATTTGCTATCTGTATTTTTGTTGCTGTTAATGAACTCAAAGGTCATATGTATGAAGCTCTGAGAATGCTGGCTGTGGCCGTTAACTTTCACATTCTTCTCAGCACATTAGGCAGTTTTTTTCCAGGACAGTAGCATTTGTCAGTAGGTGGGGGAACAATCTTCAGTGAGGTGGATCAGACTGCAATACCCACACACATACACGATAGCATGCTGCACTGACAAAAGGTATGACAGCAACTTCTTTATAAGGTAAAATGAAGGGTTGGGGACAGAGTCTTCTCGTCACAAGTCCAGTGGAAAGATCACCAGCTGGTCTTCAAGTGGTACATGGTTTTATTATCAGCAAAGCAGGATTAACTGATTATTACTGTACCTGTAAAGAAGGCTATGTGTTTGGAATATCTTTGAAACTATTGTAAATTAATTACATTCTTTTGGCTTCAGCAGAGTTGTATCCATTCCAATCAGCAGATAATTCTACCTATTCTTTTTAATTTTAAGTGATGCAAAGGATTTTCCTAATGAAATAGGATACCATAGATGGGAAACTTCTTGCTTCTTGTCTGAAACGTGAAAATGTCCTCTGCCTTGATGTATATGTGTCAAGTAACAAATAGGTTATTTGCTGAAGCAAGGAAATCCCATCAGTTATTTCAAGAGCAGTCTCTGTCACATATGCTGCAATCTCTGATGACCCAGTGCAAGCTGCCTGATTGTGTAGCAATGAAAAGCAATTTGAGTAAGCTAACAAACAACTCAGAAAAAGATTTTCAACCCCCTGTTTTTCTTTTCTTCTTTTCTTTTCTTCTCTTTATTAACTGTGTGTTACACCTGCAAACTTTCCAGAGGTCAATTACCAAAGGAAGTTATATTGGGCATGCAGAACAGAATGACTGTGATTCTGATACTCAGGGAACTCCTGTGGGGTTCCCTACCAGGTTTTTATATATCAGTTTTGTTCTAAAGGTGAGGTCATTCTGAAATATTCATTTTTAAATATCTAAAATAAAGGAAGAGTTGTGATTAAGTGCATATGTAGCAATGGCAGATGGGCAGCACAATATACTGGTAAGGTTACTAAAAGAATAGAAAAGATCTCAGTATATATGTGTGTAGATAAAAAGTGTAGATGAAGAAAGGGCAAAATTAGTTTTTGAAATTTTTTGCATTTTGTTCCTGGTGTGTCTGCCCTCACTGTTTCTGTATTGGCTTCACAGGAGGCAAATACATAGTGCAGCATCCAAAGACACTTCTCCATGTCTTCATGAATATAATCTGTACAATATCTGAAAAACAACTGTTCCAGAGTAGTCCAGGTTATGTCTGAATAATGAAAATGGAAATCTGTCAAGGAGTCCCCTTTTCTGTAGTAGGCCTTTTCCAATCTGCCATTACCTGCTTTCTCAAATTGCCTCTTACCCCTGCTTGTGATAAACTAAGTTTATTTAACATCTCCTTCCAAACACCATCAGTTTTACAGGAATATGAGTTACAGTGGAGATATCATATGTTTAAGGACATAAACCATGGTTATCTCAACAAACCTGAGAAAACTATGATTTTCTTCTATGATGCAGCATTAATGCTTAACCATGGACATAACTAAGGATGAAAATAATATCTCGGATTTCAGAGAGGATACATTTGAAACTAAGCATAACCAGTACTTAGTGTGATATGGGCATGTAGGATTGAACAACTACTAAAACTTGCAGAACAACAGAAATGAACACATATTGGTTGCTGAGTGCTTTCTCTTCTTAGTTCCCGAACCCGTGTTTTTGTAAGAGGAATAGAAAGGTGACAGGGGTGTAGGATCAGAGATTGACAATGGCAGTGAGGGATGGTTACAAAACGTAGATACCATTTTGCTTGTGACAGGAGTTAGAACTGCAGATCCACTGAAAATAGTTTGATTTTTACTGTGTTCAGTTGGTCTAAGTGCTAGGAACGGAGTTTTGCTCTATCTATCAGTAAATATGCACATATAATAAATCAAGACACGTTTTTTTTTTTTTGAAAGAAGCTTATTCCGCACTGGAAATCCTGGTCTAAAAATAAGGGGGTTTGCTGTTCCTTGCTTCATCAGTGAAGTTATTTGGAGCACTTCTGAGAGGATGCTTACAGTTTCAAGGTCAACAATTAACTGGTTAATAGGGCTACATCAATTAACATGATTAGAATGTATTCCATTATTTCAGAGAAGTTAAGAAAGTGGAGTGGTTTCATTTCAGGAAGAGAGAACCAAAGTGTAAGTTTCAAGCGAAAACAGAGATTGTAGCATGTATACAGGTGTAAAATGAGGTAGTCCTTGCATTATCTTTTTGGAAGAATTTCTAAGAATGGCTGAATAAGGTTCAGAATATGAAGAACAAAATTCTCATTTGGCTTTCGCTTTAATGTAGTCCTGAAGAAACAGAGACTTGACTTGCTGCTGCGCAACAATCATAGTAATGGTTGATGCATCCCAACCTTAAGTGTATTCACAGTTTCTGAAACAGCAGCTGCAAAAGCCAAAGTCTTTCTCTTAGTGAAGAAAGCAGTAATGTTGGCTGTCGCCTTGGTGGAGGATCGAGCAGACTTTTTGTCCCTTCACTTTAAGAAGGGTTGTAACATAAAAGACAAAAAGAAAATAAACACAGGAGTTGGTTTATATCCCAGAAGATTCCAAATTGGACATAAATTTTGTGCTTACAATAGGTTGATAACAAAAGATTCCTGGATTCTGTAGATAAAAATGGAGGCTGGAAGGAATGTCATTAATTTATCAGTATCAACAGACTGAAGAAATATATTTTCATCATCTTCTTTTTCATTCACATCTGATAATCAGCTTCTCAGTGTGGTTTATGATGTCAAGAATCCAGGTCACGCTGTCTCTGGTAAGGACTACCTTCTGCTTTGTGCCCCTTTTCAAGACGCTCACTGCAACTCTGCCATCATCATGGGAACAGTTTCAGCATGTAGTTAGGTTAACAGTTGAATTTGCTATTTCAGGAAAGAACAAAAAGTTGCTAGAAATGTGCAGAGTCTGCATGTAAGCAGTCAGACAATGGACCTAACATCACCATTTGTAGCTATTCCCTCTTGAGTTCTCTGAGCATGATCTTCTTGAGTCTGAAAAGCAACTAACGGCTTCGAGTGCTTTAATAGAGCATTGGCAGAACAGGAAGAGTTTGGGACACACACACATTCTCAGCACATCAAATTCCACAGACCTTTGTGTTGCCATAAATGTTGAGTGACTTGAATGAAGGTAGAAGAGCTTGTCTAGATTTATATCCATGAAAAAGTGAGAATTGGTGCAGCTGGTAGATTTTTTTAGCTTCCTTTTAACTGAATTCATTGCAGCTCTTGGACATCGCTTAATTGCAATATTGCTTAGAGTTACAAGGCTCTGTAATAACTCTGTACTTTTACCTTTGGTCTAAGATACATTGTTATGAATTATGCAGAAAATAAAATGTCTGTCACTCCACCTACATAGGACATTTTTCTGGATATATGCAGATTAGCCTGTCAAATTACTCACAATCCTGTTAAACTGTGATGGTTTACTTCATTGCTGCAGCCCATGAATATGAAATGAAAGGGTCAAGCTGTATTAGCTTTGACTTTTGCTTTCCTGACTTTTTTTGACTTTGAGGTAGATGTTTAGTGCTTCTCAATATATTATCTGAAGACTGTCTGTGGGAGATGTTCTCTTTAGCTCTTTCTTCCTATATTGAATCTCCATTACACTAACAGATATCTTTTTTACACTCACATATCACTTTCCAGTGCAGCACAAAATGCTGAATGGATCTCATAACACTTTAATTTGTCAGCCCTGGCTATATAGCTCCCTCATAGTTATCACAGATATTCTTACTTTTGAGTAAAAGAGGAGAATGGCAGAAATATCTGTTCAGTTGGGAAATGCTGATATTACAAGGGAAGTGACTGTAAACTGTTTTTCTAGAGCTACCTATTAAATATCTATTGTTAAGAAATAAATGAAATTCTGCAGTGTGCTTCAGGATAGAAGGAGTTAACTAGAGTGCTATCTACCTTTCAAAAATAAATTTTGGAGACAAAATATTCATATAATCAGAGTTAATCTTTCTTATACTAGTAGCCGATTTCTTCTGAAATAGCTAAATAGAGATTTCACAATAATTTTGCAGTGACATGTTTTTCTCTTTCTCTCTGCTGTAAACATGTTTTGCAATAAATAATATATTTTTAAAAAGTCATCTGTCAGCATGGCAGTAAAATTTATTGATTGCCAATAACTATGCACTGGCTCTCTAATATTGGAGAATATTTGATACAATTACCTATGGTTAATAGTACTTCTCTCTTCAAACAGTATTGCTGAAGTCAATGTATTACTCAACATGAACAATCACATCATAATCACCCCCTACGACTTTCAAATACAAACATATGGCTAATAAAGATAAATTCGTATTCAACCATGTTTCCATGTTCTAGGCTGAATGGATACATTGCTTACATGTAATGTAACCACACAGCAGTCTTGTGCAAGCATATATGGTTAGCATGATGTTGAAGAAGGGAAGAGTTTCTTATTTGACAGTATAAGGAGATCGTGTTAATTTGATATCATAAAAAGAAAGACTATTACTGTCTATGACACCTCCGTTTTGTTTTTCTGAGGTCTCACAACTGATGTCTCTCCTTCTTCAGATGAAGTTGATCGACATATCTACACAGAGCTAAAAAGCTCCACTGCCTTGTGCTCCCGTGGGTATTTCTATTGGTGTAGAGTGAGTGTAAAATGCAGTGAAAATCCAAATCCCACCATAGCTGGAAAATCAGAGCTAGATTTTCTCAGGTAAAGGAAAGTAAATCTTGGTTCTCAAGAGTTAAATTGATGTTCATCAAAAATATCTCCAGTAATTACTGTGTAGCAAGTGACCATTAAATTTAAATGAAGACTAATATGGAATCTTGGTACACTATTTGTTTCTTCAGTAGATGAGTTTCACCTCTGATGAATACATAGTTAAACTGTGTTTCATCATAAAACAAATGAATTAATAAACTAAATTATATTTTAGCCTGTTTAATTTTTAAATTATTTATGATTACAATTGTCTGTACTTGATATACAGTAATCTTTGCTCAAGGAAAAAATTAGAGATTAAGGGGTTTTTTTTTAGGTTTTTTTTTTTTACATGGACCTTTTCATGTAATAACCTACTATTTCCCAAATAACAGATGTCCACTAATAAGGCAAGACATTGCTTAGGCTAAAGACATAAACAATATTATAGATTCAATTATATATCCAAGGTGATTTAGTGGATTAGCTGTTGTGTGCACACTTTGGCCGCAATGCAGTGTAGTCTGTACCTTCGTATTTCATAAACTTGTGACTATTTTAATTAATTTCACATAGAACTGAACAGAAACCAGAGTTTTCACTTTATGGACAAGTCTGCTGTTTTGAAATGTATGAGTCCAATGGAAAATAATCAGTATCTACATTTCTCTGAAAGGAAAGCCATGGTAGAATGATGATTTTAAATCAATTGAAATAATTATTTTCCTCTAACAGCTTAAACAGTTTTTGGAAGAGCTAAAAAATGAAAACAGCTCCATTTCAGGGAAAGAAAACTGAATGTAACTTTGAAATGAATTTTAAAAATATGTATACAGAGGTAAAATGGTGGTAGTATGTCCATCATCTTTTCTAATAGCAGTAAGACATTTAATATGAATAATCATTTTGTTCCGATCTGTAATTAAATGTATTTTCTTTATCAAAATGTTTTCTAATAGTATGCCTGTAAGATGAAATTGATTTCACAATAGGTGTGCTATGATATTTGTTGTATTCCCAGTTTTGGTTTGATGACATGGCATTCGCTAGCAGAAAAATGATGCATCAGAAAAAACAGATTAGCTTGCATTATATATTTTAAGCTAAGTTGTGATCTCCTGCCTTACACTGGGCCCTTGGTGTAAACAGAAGTAACCCCAAAACCCTTAAACTTGTACTATTTGTTTTCCAGAAGATTTTTGATCATTTACAATATGACTCAATTTTTTATCCCATCCATCTCTCTAGTGCCATCATACAGTTGTCAACAGCTGCACCTCCTGTATATTCATATACCTTTGTATAACTATGAATTTTACTCTATCAGTGTAGAAAATGCAGACTTAATTTGCTTATAGGTTACTTATACAGTGCTGTACAAAATCACCCAAACAAAATGTGTAGTATATTAATTTCCATGTTACAGACAATTGAGGCATTGCCATTTTAACGCTTGATTCAAAAGCAATGGTTAAGCAGCTGAAGATGACAAACCCACATTCTCTGACAAACCCATAGTCTTCCTAAAGCCTGCACAATGGTATATCTAAGGTCTGCTGAGATTCAGAAGTCAAGTTCCTTATGAAAATAGGATTGATACTAAAAGTAGATTAATTTCACCCAATATTAGAGATGTAAAATTTAGGTGACTGGTGTAAATTAACTTAGGAAGAAACAAATCTGGATAGGTGTTTTATTTAATTTATCATGCACAGCCATCTTAAAATGAGATGAGTCATTCACTGACATGCCACTCTCTCTCCACACACACTACAGGGAAAGCTAAGCTTTGATTAGAGAGCTAACCTTAGGTAGATAAAACCAGCAGAGATAAAATCCATGTATACAAATTTAAGGCTTTTTGCTTCTTCTGCCCAGAAACTTATTCTTCAGCTTTTAGGAAGTAAGGAGATAGCAGGAGGAATACAGCCAGAAAGAAGGAGGAATAAATGAGCACCACACTCTTCCTAGTCACAATTCCTGGTTACCTTGTTGAGTTAGCCTCCTTTTACATGCTGGTAAGCAATCAAATGAAAGCTCAAAATGCTTTACCATACCTGATTGTGGACTTTGTTTGGGGATTTTGGCTGCTGCTTCAGGGCTGGAGGTGGCACGCACACGCTGATTGGCAGAGTTATGGATGCTACTTGGAACAGCTGCTGAGATGTTTTTGCGAGGTTTCATGTCTTGCAACCACATTGGAGATGCCTCAAAGGCTTGCATTCGCCGAGAGTGGCTGTTAGCGTTGACTTTGAGAAATGCCTGGGCCTTGTATTCCTGAAGGTCTCCATAGTTGGCATCGGTCACCCTGCACTCATACAAGCCTTCATCCTTTTTCCTCACTTTTGAAATCTGCAGCTTGTGGGAGATGTCATTCCCTTGTACTTTCACTGTCTGCAAATTTTCCAGAACAACAAACAAACAAACATGTTGTCAGATATTATTCTTTCTCTGGGAAGACTCTACCAATGTAGAGCCTGTCCAGAGAAGCCAAGTGCCAAATCAACCAGCGGTATGATTGTGCTTACTGCAGGGAAGTTGCATCAGGGATGTATGATTATTTGTGTCTATGAGGATGCCTGACATCTTCTTTACAAAAGTCTTTAGATGGCTTGCTCTGAAATGCTAATTGGCCTCAGACAAACAACCCAAACTACCATGCTCATTCCAATTAATTGCTTAAGATCATGAACATTCTTAATGAGCTTTCTTACAGAAACCTACCTGTGCACTTCACTGGTTAAACTTTTCCAGTTAGTTGCCTTTATTGTATAATTGAGGTTTTGAACTACTGCATTAACAATTTTGTTGGAGAGGTTTGTCAATAGTTAAACTTCTTCAATAACAATTTATTAGATTATCTTGTAGTCTCCACTGCATTGAAATTGCATATTTGACATTCATCTCCTTCAAGTGTGTCCAAACCTTTGGTATTTTTTTATTTATTAACCATAACAAGACATCTTGTGTCATGTAGTTCCTTTTGTTTCATTTAGGTAAGTGTGTACGTATTAGAAGTCATATATAATTTCTTCAGCACGTACTCAAGTAGCACATATTCAAGATTGTTTTAAAAGTTGTCAGCTAAGATGAGTCTCCTGATTTATTTTTAACTGCTTTTAATATCTGAGGGTAACATAACTTTTTTGTCTCACAGAATTAAAACACACATGAATAAATTATGCATCCAGAAATGTGTGACAGGTACTAAGATGCATTAGGAAAGGTGAAAGAGATTCCTTTCTGTATGTTCATCACTTCAGAAAGTTTATATTTAATTATTTGTCTATTACTCTATCTGGGTTAATTAATATTTGTTGCCCCACAGGAAGACATTTAAAAGGGATTCAGTGGGACAGAAAACTTCAGCTTTGAAGAACTCCTGAACCTGGAGTTACTTCCACCATTACATAAATATGGTGCAAATGTTGCTTTGTGTCATACCAGTCAGAGTCAATGAGGAAACCTCAGGGTGATGAATATATATGGTAGATCACAAAAATGGAGATCTGCTAGATTGAAACTAGGCACATGCTATTGATGATTACACAACACGTTGTTTCTGATATCTTGGCATGCTGCAGTCACCAGTGTTGGCAAAGCAGCTATTCTGCCTTCTTGATAAATTGAAGAGCAATACTTGTGAATACTTTATTGCTTTAAGGTGTTGGATGGACTTTATAGCCTGTTGTGTTGTATCCAGCTCTGAACTGATACTTGGCAAACTGAGTTCAAAGTATGGATTGCATACTTTCAGGCATAATGTATGGAATATTAATTACACAGAAAGTGCTGGATAGTTATTTAAACCATATTCAATAATAATATATCTCTACTGAACAGCTCACATTCAGCAAAAGGATTAAAGACTTTTCATATGAATAGAAAGCGGATCTGTAGGTCATATTATGACTTCATTTGCTCCCATACAGTATCTGCAAATTTAAGTGTTGCATAGCACTAATGAAAAACAGAATTGTTTTGGGTTTTGCATTTGAAATTTGTAAATTGTTGCTGTAAGCACATACGCATGTTCTCGATTTATGCCTCATTATTTAAAATCAATAGAAGTAGTGTATTTCAGTTGTTTAAAAGCACATTTAGTATATTTTACCATTTCTTTTAAGAATTTACTGAATGCATTTAAAAGTTTGCTTTCCTCTTCATGAAGATACTTTCCAGTAGAACTAATGGAGACTTGTGTGTGCCTTCAAAAAAGAAAAAAAGGAAGGCTACATTTGTAACAAGTGTATTTAGACTGTCAACGTAATGTTGACTTTTTTTTTTTATTGCAAATATAAAATGTTTTATGCAAGCTTATAAACACACTATATAAATGCCCCATCATGAATTATTATCATACATAATGAGAGAAAGGGATTTTTAACTTGAAAGATGGGACAAGCTTTACAACCTATACTGTGTCACAGATCTTATGGATTACTACGGGGATTTTGAATGAGCCAATATTGATAAGGAATAAATTGTCTGCTAGCACTATGTCTAGTGGAATAGTATCCAAAGGTCACATGTGGGCCTCATTTGTAGGATAGTCTACAAATGTAACTGAAGATACGGTCCGTGACACAAATCATTTATAGTGTGTGGTGAGGAGTATCATAGGAAATGTAAGTATGGATAGAATATGTATCGTATTTAATATAATGTATCTGAATTCTCATTTGTAAATGCCCTTCAGCTACACCTAGCTGCACTTTGACCCAACGCAATTACTTGGTTAGTTAGCTGTAGTCATCAAAGCTCAACAGAGTAATGAATTTGACAGAAACGACTCAGCTCTATCTGTTCCTGTTTTAAGCTTTGCTGGTACTTACAGCCTTAGATGTGGCTAAAAGGCACTTTCAAAGGGATTGTGTCTGAGAAAGGGAAAACCCCTTTGGGCCCATAAGGAATACTCCTGTTGCAGTATCTGCTAATTATCCGTGTCTTTCCGCTGCAGTGAGCACCAGGCCATGAGCCTGCCACCAGACGTTTACTAGGATGCCAAGGGCGAAGAGTCTAAAATCTTCTGAGTTTGGGGGCTGCGGCTGTGCCTGACTCGGGATATGGGTCTGCAGAGGAAGGCATCCTCTCCCTGCACAGGGGCTGGAACAATGTCGCTTGTCATTGTGTTGAGCCAACATTCTGGTTTAATCTGGCAGATTGATAACTCTGGTGTCAGAACCCCACTTTCCTAAGAAAGAGTCTCTGTGGCCAAGCATGGAGATTACTCCCAACAGGGAGGTCTTGTCCAAAGACCTTCTCAGTTTTTTTTTTTTTTTCTGCCAGCTGATATGAACCTGGGAAAGTAGCTGTTTAAATAGTTGCACACCACAGTGAAGGAAATTGCAGCTTCACAGCCAAATTTCAGACTTAAAACCAGCTTTGGAGCGCTAAGGCAAGAGTCATCAGTTGCCCACGGTAAATGAAAGCAAGGGGGGGTGGGGGGGTGGGGGTGGGGGTGGTGTTAGGCTGCTTCACGGGCTGGAAACAGAGCTGGCCAAAGGTCTCTGCTGCCTGGGCCTCACTTCCCAGTGGTTTCATGCCCAGGGGTGTCGGCTGCGTGGGGCAGGGCTCTGCAGGCCTCCTCCGTGGAAGGAGCTGGGGGCTGCCGCCGCCTGCCCGCTTCAGCTTGCGGCGAGGATGGGGCAGGGATGGGGGGATGCGGGGGGGTGTGGGGGGGTGTGAGGGGGAGCAGCCTCTCCGCATCGCGCGGGGCAGGGGTGTTGCCGGCCGCGCCGCGGGTGGGCTCCGGCTCGGGAGGGACGCGCGGGGAGGGGCCGGCGGGGGGCTGTCCGCGCCGCGCCGCGCCACGCCGCGCCACTTACGCTGATCTTGGTGCCGTCGCTGTCCAGGTCCCGCTCGGGCAAGAGCTCCACCTGCGGGGAGAGGAGCACTGCCGTGGGTGGCCGGCCCACGCCCCGCGCCGCGCCGCGCTCCCCGTCGCGGAGCCCGTGGAGAGGCGCGGCGCGTGTGCCACCTGCGGGCCGCGACGGGGACAGCCGGCGCTGGCCGCGGGGCAGCCCCCGCCCCCCCCAGCGCGGCAGGGGTTGCATTGCCCTACGCGCCCGCCGCCCCCACCCGCCCGACTCGCGTGGACGTCTCCTCCGGGCGGCTGAACGCCGACACCTGCGCGGAGGCGGCAGGGGAGGAGGGGATGAGCATCTCAGGACGTCAGGCTAAGCGGGCATGGCCCCCTCTGTCCTGCTCGCAGGGCTGGAATTGCGCTGCTGTATGATTTTTTTTTTTTTTTTTTTTTTTTTTTTTTCATATTTGGGACATTGGTTCCCCTTGCTCTCCTCCCCCCCCCCCCCAAGTTTGTGCCCTCCTGTGGCTGCTGCACGCAGAGTTAGGGCTGCCAACTCGACTGCACCAGCTGTAAATTGGAGGGCATGTGTAAGATCTTGCTGTTTGGGAAATAAAAAATTCCCACAGGAAGCAGCCTCTGAACAGCTGCTTTCCAAAGGGAAAATGGGAGAGAGAAAAAGAAAAAAATGTAGACTCTGGAAATCCATGTGGTTTTGTGAACGTCCCTAGCTGCGCTGCATCCTGAGAGTGACAGGGATCAAAGGCACTATCCCTTGAGTGGGAATTTTTCTCTGCAGGTTCCTGCACTGTTATTTCATGGTCAAAATTAAGTCCCTAGGGAAATTCAGAACCTCCTGCTGATCCCTGCCTTTCCCTCCCCTTTCTCTCCTTCCCTTCCTTCCTCTCCACCCCTTCTCCCCGGGCGGTTTGGGGACCCCATGGCAGAGGATCAGTACCTGGGTGCCTGTCATCTCAGCTCCAGCCTCTTGGTCCTCAGCCACCCGCAGAAACCACCACTGGATTTCAAGGTACACGGAAGCAGAGCCACTTTGGAAAGCACAAGACATCTCCACGTTCTGCCCTTCAGTGGCCGTGACATTTCGGGGAAACTCAGTGAATTTTGCTGCAAAACAAATGCATAACATGTTGGGATCTCCTGTCCCCTACTCATCGTTTATTCTTTGCTTTTTACCTTTTTTCTTCCATCTCTCTCTTTTTTTTTTTTTTTTTTTTTTTTTTCATTTATAATTAATTTATCTGTTTTCTTTTATAATTCTCTCTCTTTTCTATTTTCCCACACATTATTTCCCCCGGTTTCTCTCACACCCAGGTATGCCTTTCCTCCCTTATACACAAATCCATCTTATTTATAAGCTCTGCTCATGGGAAATGCTATAGACCCCCCTGATTGCTCCCATGGGCTAGCAAAGTTTCATGTAATTAGGTCCAAATACCCTTGGACAGAATGCAGTATTTCACCAGACTCACTGAGGGATTTTGTGCAAGACCAATTCAGAAGAGGAAAAAAAATCAGACTGATTTATTGTATTTCGTAGGTGTGAGCTGGAGACGTGTGAAGTGTTAAACCTTCCGCAGCCAGCTGGAGCGGCTGTTGGAATGGGCACTCTTCTGAGGTGTGGGTTATGACCACTCATCAAAATGCCCATTTCAAAGGCGTTATCTGAGTTAGTTACTTTCTGAGAACCTCTGCTTTCATAATCAGACCAAGGAGCAATACAACTTCTGTTTCTCAGCCCTGCCAAGTGCTTCCTTACCACTGCTAGGTTTAAAAACTAATCCCGATGGACATGGTCCAGGGCACGGGTATTTCTTTAAGTCTCAGTCTTTACTTCCTTCTCATCCTTTCCTATAACGCACTTTTTGCAATTGTGCAACATAATTAAACATGAGTCAAGTGAGGGATACTACAGAAAAACAACGTAAAAAATAAAACCTGCTTCAAGTAGAGGAAAATTTGGGAATACCCTGCAATGTTGCTTTCTGTTATGCATTGTTACAGACTGACTAGGGCATATTATGATGTGAAAGAAATATTGCTCATTGTCTCCTCCCCTCTTTCTCTCTCTTTATCCAGTCTTCCGAGCTAACCTGGAATTGGTGGGATAATTTAGCAATGCACTCAACCAGCGTTACTTCTTTTTCCCCTTACGTTTGCGCTTGGCAACAGATACTTAGCAAAGCTACCAGCTTTATACTTCACCGTGTCCCATTTTTTGCCCCCCTCGCCTTCCCCCCAGTCGGCGACTGATAGTCACCGGGTTAAACAGACAAAAGGACTGTGCGTTTTGTGCGTTCGGGGCTTGTAAGTTTGTTGTGTTGTGGGTTTTTTTGTTTTTGTTTGTTTGTTTGTCTGTTTGTTCGTTCCCTTCCCCTCCCGCTGTGGGGACGCGGAGGGGATGCTGCCGGCATCCTCCCCGACCGCCCAGGCTGGCAGAGCCGGCCGGGAGCTGCCGGCGGGGGCGGGGGGGGGGCGGCGGTGGGGGGGGGGCGGGGGGGGGGTCCCCCGCGATCTCTGTCCATGGTGCTGACAGCGTCGCCGCAGCCTCGAGATCCCAAACAACCGGTTCCTGCAGCTCCGGGGCTGCTTGAAATGCAAGGCGCGCCTTTCGGCGGGGAGGGGGGGGAAGAGACGAGGAGGGGAGGTCTTCAGAGAAGTCGGTTTTGTCTTTTTCTCTGCTTGCTTTTTGGTTTTGGTGGGGGATTTTGGGGTTGTTTGTTTTTTTCCTTTTTTTTTTTTTTTTTTTTTTTTTTGGGGGGGGGTGGGGGAGAGAGGCAGAAATACACATAGTCACAGAATCGAAATGACTGTCTGACTCTGAGGATTGCAGGGTAGTAGGAGAGGAAAGGGGACGCAGCACGAAAGGAGACTGCAATATTTTAAGGGAGACGGTAGATTTAGCCATCTGCTACTTTATCTGAACGCAATAATTATGCATGCACGGATAGGTGTTTATTGTATGCATGCGTGTGTGTATACAAACATGCACAACCCAAACACATGTATGTCCATTCACCAACACCCCTTTACTCTTCTGCAAGGTGCCTGTTATTTCCCTCTTTGCAATCAAGTAAAGGAAGCCTGTTTTATTCCCACTTTGGGGAAACTTCTCACTTTTGTCCCTATTTACAGACAATTTTAAAGCTAAATGTAAACCTGATGCTTAGTGTCCTCATCTCCCATCCACTGTGGTTGTCTTCTTCTTTTTATTCTCTTCTTCCTCGCTTACCACCCCCCCCTCCCCCCAATCAGCCTGTTTTAGCATAGAAAATCACACACGTATTTGACAATAAGTGATCTTACCTTGGGTAGAAAGTCCTTGTTGAATATACATAACTGAAAAGAAAATGAATCCAACATAAGCTAGAAAGATCCCCATCATTCCAAGACGAAGAAGAAGTCACATCAGGGTAACAAAAGCCAAAGGTGCCCTCAGAAAAGGAAGGAAGAATTGATGTATGAGTGTGTGTATGTATCTCTAAATATATGAACAGAAAGATTTTAAATGTTACAAAAAGGCTCTGTATTGTAGCCCTAGCTGCAACACTGTCAGCATTCTGCTACTCAGTGGAGTCTTTTTCTTTGGGAAGAGAGAGTATTGCAATACAGTCTGGTTCAGATGAGCTGTCTCAGGCGCTGTGTTGCTTGAAGTCCAGATTCAGACTAAAAAAAAAAAAAAAAAAAAAAAAAAACAAAAACAAAAAAAAACAACCAAAACCGTTGAAAAGTGGGTATCAGCTGCCTTCTGTGCCTTTTTTCAGCTACCTGGCAGCTTCGTCCAACGTCAGCTTTTGCTGCTTAGGATGGCGTGATGACTGCCCTCCCTACACACTGATCCAGCTTGGGAAGAGGGGAGTGGGGGAAAGAAAGAGGGTGGGGGGAGAGAGAGAAGTCTACTGTGCTTGTATTGCTTCAACTTTTCCCTCTAATGGCTGCGATAATGCCTTTAACCCTTTCCTCTCTTTCCCTGTTCGATACACCTCTCCACCTGTTCTGACTTCCACTGGCTCTGATGCTGGGGTAAAACTGCGCTGCTTTTTTTTTTTTTTTTTTTTTTTTTTTTTTTTTTTTTTTTTTTTTCCAGTGTATAGCTTGTGATTGTAGAGAGAGCAGGGAACCTGCTGTAATCTTCGGTTTTACATCCCCAAACACTCAGTGGCTAAGAGGGCAATGCAGTGGTTTGATTTTTGGTGAGTTAAGCTGGTTTTGTTTTCTCCTTTTTCTCTCCCTCTTACAGGGTCTGAGGGGAAAATAGTTGCTCAGTAATCCTATTGCACTTGCTATTGCCTGTTCCAAATAACTATGCTTCTAGCATCTTACATTAAAATGTTATTTTGTCTTCAAAGACAGATAAAGAAGATGATACTTAAAGTGTGCTTAGGGTACATGTATTTATATAGATTTCTATGGAAAAAATATTTGCCTAGATACAAATGGATTCTGATATCCTGCAGATTACTCACAGTAATATATATATTTATGTACGCCAGAGAAGGTGTTTAGAGCATATTAAAGAAAGCTTTCTCCTGCAGTGAATGTTTCCTTCTCTCTTCCTTGTATTCTGCCTATGTATATTAATAATGTTTAGACAAGAGACTAACTTGACTGTGTTAGGTGTTCAAAACACCCTGATAAACATCTGCACTGAGGGAAGTTCTCTGACCGAAATCATCGTGCTGCCAGTAGTAAGAAGCCATCTAGAAAGTGCTTGTTGCACTAAGCAAGCACCAAATACCTTCACAAGGCTGAGACAAAGACTAAATAGAATCTGAAAAGAGCACCTGATAATCACTCAGACTGCCAAATAGCTGAATTTAACTGCTAATCACAGACTAAAAAAAGATATAAACTGCACCAAATTAAGGAGAATTTTATCCGCATAGGCAATATGTTTTTCTGTTGGATGAAGAACTGGACAGGTTCTGTCATTCTTGGCAATGGGAGTGCAGCAGTTCCACAATGGTACAAGATACAACTTTAATCTTACTGCACGGTCCAAATTATTACATGCATACAAGACATCTGATAGAGCTGCAGAGACCTCTTTCACAGAACTGATGCAATCTGACCGGAGAACAATCCTTTTGTCTACATTTTATCATTTACTTGTTTTATAATTGCATGAGTTCCCATCACTATTTATGAAAATAAGGGAGGCTTTTCCGGATGATAATGGTCTATTCCATTGGTGTCATATCTTAAACATAGAAATAGTTCTGAGTAAAAGATGAGTACAATAAATCAAATGCAATTTAAATGATTCAAATGGTCCCCCAAATAGGAAAACAATTATGTTGCCCAAAATATTTTCAATTACCACAGAATTTTAGTTACTTTAAAGGAGGTCATGATAGCTGTATTCAAAGCCAAAGAAAATCTGTAAAACAAAAGAAAAGCACAAGTCTTCAAAGGTTGCAGACCTAAATTATCTGAAGTAGCCAAAGACTGCGAGTGATTCAGTGATTAGACATACAACATAGGGGTCTTTACAGGTTCAGATGGTGAATGTTTCAATAATTTCTACAAAAGAAATCAGACCCTTTTCAGATGGGCAGCCAAAATCCTAAGTCACTCTTGAAAATGAAGGCTGATTATAGGATTCACTTCAAACCCATGTACGTCATCAGTAATCAGTTGAAATTACAAATTAGAGACGTATTATCAGCAGCCAAGTTAAATGTAAATTAGAAAGGAGGAAAAAGAATCTAAGCAGCATCACCTGGTTTAGAAGGAAAGAAGAAAACAAAAATAGATCACTTCTGTTTTTCTCTTTTTTGCCTATTCCTATTCAAGACACTTGATAGGTAAATTTAGTTTTATCAATTTGTAATTTAGAAACAAGAATAATTGTCCCAATACCTTGTAGTCAATAGAACTAATGAAAACTTAAATTACTGTCACAGGGATGTAAAAAAAAATAATATATATGTTTTTTAAAATATCAAAACAGAGGATGTATTTATTAGGGAATTGATTTAATTGAAAGAATCCTAAAAATTTGTTACATCTTTATTATTTTTACTTTATTCATGTGCTGCAACAAGCCATATGATTCTGTCAAGTACTGCAAGCAGAAAATGTAAATAATACACCTCATGCTATCAATGTTAAATTTCACCCTGATGGATGTGTCTTGTCCACAGGCAGCTATGCTATATGAATCTGGACAGCAAACGTGTATAGTTACCTTGTGTGAAATCTCTGCCTTTTGTGCTGTAGAAAGAGTTTTCATGTAGCTTAACTTACATGAGAAGTATCAGTTGTGCTTTTATTGCATGAATGGTATGGTTTATGTGAGGTTTTTGCTGCCTCTTTTTCCCCCTTTTAATGATTCTAACAGATGAGTCATCTCTGGACATACTCCGAGGTCATAGCCAGAATGTCCATGCACAGGGGAGTGACTTTTCAAACATGCCAGCAAAATGTAATAATGGAAGACACATTTATGCTGCCGTGGAGCTGAATTGTTTAGTTCATCCTGTGTCTTATTACTACTTCAGTACGTGTTCCAGATCAAGTGCTCCTTCAAAACCATAAATGACCATGCACATTCACCACTCTGCCCAGCTTGCAGACCCCAAGTCTATGCATCTGACAATTATTAAGAAAAAAATTGACAATGGAGGTTACGATTCCAAGCTCAGTAAAGGTTAGAAATGAAAGATGTTGTTCTGCCAATCAGCAATAAGATTGGTGTGCTTCGGTACCACAAAGCCATGCACTGGCATGGGCTGCCTTGCCCTACAGGAAGCTGGTCAGCTGATGACTTATCTCTGCATGAGACCATGACTGAGTGTTGCTGTCCAACAAGCTCATTTAAAAATAAAACCAAAAAAAAGCTACTTCCTAATATTTGTTTGATTGTTTGATATTTCAGCTTTTTTTTTTTTTTTTTTTTTTTTTCTGTTATTTCAAAGATTTGTTTACTATTTCAAGGGGAATTTTGTAATTTCTGATGAAATTTCTGATTTATAAAAGTTAAAAAGGAGGTTGTTTTTTTTTTTTTTTCACTGAGGACTGCTGTTTAGCTTTGTTCACTCCAAGTGCTCATATGAGTCTCTTCCAGCACATCACTGTTGTATCTTTGCAACGGTATAACTATAGATAGCTTTGTTATAAGTAATTAAAATATATAGGAAGTCTATGAACAAGCTTGATTTGTAATGGGGAAAACAAACCAACCAACCAACCAATCACTTTTCAGTGTTTCTATACTTGCAAGTTTAGTAGAGCTAGTAGCAGCATAACTCAACACTAATTATTTTTGTAATAATTCTGCAAAAACTTACAGAGGGTTGACTTTCAAACCTGAGAGCATCAGTCGGACTTCTTACACAATTGCATGTTTATTCAGTTTAAGGAGATAACACATGTACAGAATTACCACTATCTAGACCAGTAAGAGCCTTGGCTATGCTTAGAGAATTTGTAGTCTTTGAAGAACAGAGAAAAGTTAAACAAATCTGTATGTTTTAAGTACTTCTGCGACCAGAATTTCTCATATCTATGTATGATGTCACCATAGGGTCTCAGACGTTGTAACACAACTGATAGTTATTTCACAGTGAAAGTAGCACCATAATCTTAATCATGACAAAGAATAGAGATGCAACCTTTCAAAACTAGGAGCACTTGGGACACTTCACCAGTCTGAAGAATACTTGCCAAATGATGCTTTTTGTTGCTGTAGTGAGATTGCTTGTTCTAATTATTTTTCTGCATAAACACAAGCCATACACTCCATGCTTGTGTTTGTAAGTGTATAATTTTGTGAAACTAAACATTTGGGCTGTGATGTTTCTATGTTATCTATGTCTTTCAGAGTTTGAGGTGGTGGTTAGGTTTGGGTTTTTTTCCCCACTTTTATTCAAACACACATCAACTATCTATGAAACCAACAGTAGAGGAGGAGGCGATTGTAATAAAAGTTAGAGATAAGTACTGTTTTACCTTTAAGATCTTTTATTTGAAATACCCTCACACTCTTACTCTTCAGATCAAGGACATTATATTTTATAGTTATCATTTGTGTTTGGACATTGTACCTTTGTCACTCTCGTGAAAATTCTGTCACATTTGGCTGTATTCAAAGATCTGAAAAAATGTGGGTTGCATATATTTAATGAGTTCTCATATCTCTTAGGAGCTTGTGTTAGTTCATTGTGCCTAAATTCCTCACAGCCTTGAATGCTGACTAAGTGCATATATGGCATCTTTACAGAGTGAACAGACATGCAAAGGGACTAGCTGTGCAAAAAACCTGTCATTAGACTCTGGGGAAACAGGAGAAAGGCAAGAGAAAAGAAAGATGTGACAAGGACCTGAAGGGGTTGAAGCTTAGAAAATGTCATAATGAAGTTTGTCCATTATCTTAATTCATTCCTTTCATTTGCATACAATTATGAGCAAGCTCTACTTCAGGTGAACCCCTCCTATTTATAACCTGGGTTCATACATCACTCAGTACACAAAATTGTCCTAGTCTAAGCAAGGCTTCCTGCTCAGGCCTGGGATGTAAAGGATGCCATTGTATGTGATACTTCTGCCTTATTTCTTACAAGTATTGGAAGAGAAAGTATACTTCCCCCCCCAGGACAGCTAAGTCCTGGCTTGGAGAAGAACAGTCCATTTCTGATTGCCAGAGTTCCTGAGCTGTGCTGCCCAGTCCCTTACCTCAGGTGTTTCACAGATGGTCAGGAATGGTATGTGTCTCATTTCTGAATTCCCATCTCAAGATCCTGAGGGTTGAGATGAAGAAGCACTGAGCAGTCACTGCTACAAATAAAGTGAATGGGTGCTGTGCTTGAAGGTGCAAATTATTACAGAATGTGACAAAAGCCCACAACCTGGGTCCTGGGTAACTTGACATTGACTGTTGCCTGTGTGTCTCTGCTGCCTGTCTGTAAAGTGGGATATATTATCCTGTCACTTTGGAGAGATTTTGTGAAGATAAATTAACCTTCATGAAGCTCACAGGGCTTTGCATGATGAGCACCACAGGAAAGCCCATAAGGAAATGAATAATTCTGTCTTCAGCTCAGGGCTTGAGTGGTGTGCATGGGTGAGGCCTAAGGACACACACTGAACAATAAAAATAACCAAAATATCAAAGATATGCTCAT